AGACCTCAAGGTAAGCGACCCCCAGGTAAGTTGAATACTGATTTGTTAAACTAGCCTGCTAACCGTTTGCGCTTCAGCAACTGGCTGACCCAACAGCTAGACAACCTTCCAGTCGTACAGGAGAACGCCTCCGTGGAGAACAAATGGTGTCAACTACGGGATACTTTTTAATCCACCGCCAAACGCATCATTGGCTGCGCGCCCCACCGACACCAGGAGTGGTTCAACGAAAACGATGCAGCCATCAGCAATATGATCTTCGAGGAGAATCGTCTGCGCAAAGCATATATCGATCACCCTATCGACGCCACGAAAGCAGCCTATTACCAAAGCCGCCGTCTCGTACAGCAGCAGCTGCGGGAACTGCAGGATGCTTGGATGGCTCGAAAGGGTGGGAAAATCCAAGGCTACGCGCACCGCAACGAATGGAAGAACTTCTTCGCTGCACTGATACCTGTCTACCGTCTCACAGTCAAAGGCACAGCCCCGCTTCTCAGCGCTGACGGCACCAACCTCCTCATCAAGAAGGCACAAATTCCGAGACGCTGGGCCGAGTACTTCGAAAGTTTACTCAACCGGCCCTCTACCACCCCTAAGGCTGCCATTGACCGGCTGCCGCAGGTTGAAGCCAATGCTAACCTCGACCTCCCACCCACCCCTGAGGAAACCATCAAGGCTGTGCAGCAACTCTCCGGCTGGAGGGTACCCGGGTCCGACGGGATCCCAGCGGAGATCTATAAATATGGTGGCCGCCAAATCACATCTCACCTCACCACCCTGTTCCAGGAGATGTGACGACAAGGAAAAGTTCCACAGGATTTCAAGGACGCCAAAATTGTCCACCTCTTCAAGCAAAAGGGGAACCGACAAGTCTGTGACAATCATTGCGGAATCTCACTGCTCAACTTTTCCGGCAAAATCTTCGCTCGCATTCTTCTCAATCGTCTCGACAGCGCCCCGGAACAAGGGCTCCCACCTGAAAGCCAGTGTGGTTTTTGACGTCACCACGGTACCACTGACATGATATTTTCCGCACGACAGCTGCGGAAGAAGTGCCAGGAGACGCGGACTCACATCTTCACTACGTTCGTGGACTTGATAAAAGCCTTTGACACGGTGAACCGCCCCGGA